CGACTTGGGCGCCTTGCACAGTTTGCAGTGGTGATATGAAACCGGTTTTGCATCCAAAACTGCATCCTGTACATATTGTATAGTGTACTGATACCCTATGCATAGCCTGGTTAATGTAAGCTGTTGTCTCCAAGACAGGCCGTGATAGACTTTATAGGGTGTGTCTAAATCTGATGTCCCAGCAATACTCTCGTAATGCCAGATAGCACCATGTCTGTCTTTTTTCATCCTTTCAGCGGTCCATACCTGACCCTCTAAGACAACTCGTTTTATTTTCATTCGATTGAGAGATAGCGGTATTACATAGTATGGATCATCATGGGAAAGTGCTAACCTGGCTAATTGATCAGCCCTGTCACATAGTGATATTCCTATATGAGAGGGTATCCAGGATAGTGACACTTGAGTACCCCGTTCTCATAGTTTAGAAATTTGGTGAAAGATATTCCTAGTTACCGTGTTTTCTGGAATAAATGCAGTAAGCCTGGAGAGAGAAAGAGAGAGAAAGAGAGAGAAAGAGAGAGAGAGAGAGAGAGAGAGAGAGAGAGAGAGAGAGAGAGAGAGAGAGAGAGAGAGAGAGAGAGAGAGAGAGAGAGACTCAATCTCTTTACACCTTTAATTAGTTGACTCGTATTTCGTAATCAGTTTACGTAACTATAAACTGATAGCAATAGTAACAGTAATAGCGATAAAAAACACATAATAATAATAATAATAATAATAAGAAGAAGAAGAATGATGATGCTGATGATGATGATAATAATAATAACAACAAAGAACCCGTAACAATGAAACAAAACAACAATAATAAAAAAATAATAGTAATAATAATAAAAGTAATGAAAAAAGATGACAATAATAATAATAATAGCAACAACAACATAATAATAGCAACAACAGTGATACTAGTATTGACAACAACAACAATGTTAACCATAATAACAAAAGTAAATAACAAGACTAATTCCACTTCCGACTACCAGAAGAAAATGGATAATAAAGAAAAAGAAAAGAGAAGAAAGGAACAAGAATAATGAATAAAACAAAACGGCAAGAGGGCCACGTGGCACCCCCAGCGACAAGTGCCAAAGAACAGGTGTGCCAAACAGGTGTGTTTCAGACGAAGGTACTAATCATTTCCAGCTGATCTCCCCCCTTCCACCCCCACCCCCCGGACACCTGCCATTCCTTACCCCCCCCCCACCCTCATCCCATCCCCCCCTCCCAATTTTCGTCCACTTCCCTGCTGTCCCCTTTTTCTTGTCCCCTTCTCCCTCGCTCTCTTCTCTCTCTCGCTCTTCGTTCTCCCTCTTTAGCTCTTTATTTTCTTCCCTCAACTCTCTCTCTTTCCCTTTCTTCTCACTCCCTTTCTCCCTTCTTCCCTCTCCCCTTTTTTCCTCTTCTCCCTCTACCCTCCCCTCTCTCTCCCCATGTACTTCCACCTCTTCACTCCCTCCCCCCTCTCTCCCCTTCCCCTCCCCTCCACTTCCCTTTTTCACACTTCCCCCCATCTCTCTCCCCATCTCCTTCCCCCTCTTTACTCCCTCCCCCCTCTCTCCTCTTCCCCTTCTCTTTCTTCACTCATCTTCATTTCACTTCATCTCTCTCCTCTATTCCCCTCTCTCTCCTTCTTCCCTCCCTCCTCTCTCCCCTTCCCCTTCCCCTTCTTCACTCCCTCCCATCTCTCTCCTCTATCCCCCTCTCTTTCCTTCTTCCCTCCCTCCTCTCCCCCCCTCCCCTTCTCTCCCCTCACCCCCCCCCCCCCCTGCCACGTATTTCTGTCGACGCGGATGCACAACCTGCGTAAGCTCTATAGTCGGGTGTGGCTTACTACCGCCTGTGGATGGCTCGATTTTTTTTCTTCTCTAATTTCCCCTTTCTTTTCGTTTCTTTTTTTTTCTTTTATTTAGCGGTGTCGGTGATGTCTGTTTATTTTCTATCGTGATTGTAGTATCATTTTCATTATTTCTATCATTATCTTGATCATCATACCTGTTCTTATTATCGTTTTTGCTATTAGTATTATCATAGTTGTCATTACCATAATTATTATTGTTTATCATGTTCATTATCATTATAACCCCCACAACTTCAACTACTACTACTGCTATAGCTGCCACTATATATTTTTATTATCATCCATGATTTGGGGCTCGATCATCTAACTATGGTAGTGAGATCTTCCCTTTCAACACCTTTTGTTTTCCAATCAGAAAGGGGGTACCACTAATGTTTTCCAGTTAAAGAGAGGGGGTACCACTAATGTTTCCAATCAGAAAGAGGTACCACTAATGTTTTCGAGTTACAGAGAGGGGGTACCACTAATGTTTCCAATCAGAAAGAGGTACCACTAATGTTTTCCAGTTAAAGAGAGGGGGTACCACTAATGTTTCCAATCAGAAAGAGGTACCACTAATGTTTTCGAGTTACAGAGAGGGGGTACCACTAATGTTTCCAATCAGAAAGAGGTACCACTAATGTTTTCGAGTTACAGAGAGGG